CCCCAAAACCCCCCCAAAACCCCAAAACCCCATCAAGAATAGTAAATGATAGGCGCTATGAATGAAAATTTATTAAAATTAGAATTAAACCAAGTAGATTACTTTTATTTACTGCCACATCAGATTAAAAAGCCAGCCTTTTGAGAATTATTGTCAATGTTTGATGGCTCATAAACTACATTTCCATTTTCATCTATTTCTGGGGGTTATCTTGTATCATCATATATATTCGCATTATTCTGATATTGTTGAGAAAATATAAAGTCGTCTTCCTATTTAATGTACTTCTCCCATAAGGCAGTAGCCATATTATAAAGCTCGAAGTTTTCTTGTTATGTAATTTCTTATAAGTAGTCATCACCTTGATTTGCGCAAAAGTAGTCAATTATAGATAGATCGCCCTACATCATCACTTCCTTATCATAATTAAAGTACCTATCAAGAGCTTCGAGAGCAACGCCTATTAATCTCTTATCACTTCTATCCTCTTTAAGAAGCATAACCAGTAAATCTATATAGTCTCTCTAAACTAATTTGATAAACTGCTCGCGAGTTGAGTTTGTTATTAAGTTTAATAAGAAATACATGCATTCCACGAACAGGATCTAGGGCAGTCTTTTATTTTGAGTATATTCCAAATACTATAGAGCTAAATCCTTGACTCTGTCAATAGTTGTGTTGTCAAATAATCTCTCTAGTATTATTGGTTGGCATGCGGAAATATTAGATAGCACCCATATTCCTAGTTTGACGATGGTGATAGCAGTTTTATGCTCGACGCTATTCGGTAGGAAAGCTTCACCAGGATAAATATCAATAGTGAGAACATTTTAAGCTATCATTAGATGTAAATCCCCGAACTTTTCAAAAAACATTCTTGCATGTCTATCCTCTTTAGACAATAAAGTGCCAAATAACTTTAATCCAGAATCTAAAACTGCATTATCCGAGCCTAATTAATCTTTGAAAAAAATGAATATTTACAACTTAATGCATGTTCAAGAAGAGGAGCTATAGATGCATCTAATACCTAGTCAATGTGATTGGAATTGACACTGATAATTTATGTCAAGGAAGAACAAATATATTTGACTGTTTTATTTCTGTATCTTCTGTAATTAGGTGTGATAGTTGGATCAAACTATTCAGTGATATAGACTATTGTCCTCAAGATTACTTGTATCTAAATATAGAAGTCAGAAGTGAACTCATGGATTTATAGACTTACCTCCTCATACGTTAGGTACTTCTTGATTGATAGAATGTTACAAAGAGACCAGGCCATTTACTCTAGAACATCCTAGGAATTTGATTAACATATAAAGGTTCCAAGGTAGTCCATATAATTAGTTTTATTGAGGGTCATTCTTGTAAGTTCAAGATTCAGTTCTCCAAATATATTGGAAAGTATCCAAATTGCATTGACCTGGAACGAATTTTGATCTGAATGCAAAAGACTAGCAATGTTCATCATAATGGCGTCATTTAGAGCAATCTAGTTACTGCATTCGAATTCTTCTGATGATGAAAAGTTCAAAATGCACCATGTTAGTTCATTCTAAAACAAATTTCTTATACTTTAGCAAAATGCTTACAATCAAATCAAAGTAGACTTTATCATCCTTATAGTTCATAAGATAAGTTAAGAGCTAACCAAAGTAGTACAGACAGTTAGTTTGCGATATGAATTCTATCGCCTTGATATTGACATCATTGCTCATTGATGATCTAATAAGTCTAAGAACATTCCTTGTTTTCTCAATATGCCCATAGTTCATTGCGTATTAAGGATCAATTTCAAGAATCATTTTAAGTAGGAAGTCCATTTTTATTGGCTAGACATTAAAGATGTAAGTTCTAGGTATCTTACCCAATCAGCTTCTAATAATTCATTTGGTAGGTAGCTTTAAATAGCTAGTGTTATACTGTCTACATCATAGTTACCCTCATCTGAAGTACTCAGCTCATTTGAATTGAATTCATCTGCAGGAGAGTTCATGAGACTGCTGATCTTCTATCTCTTGCTTTTGATCAGTTCTTCTTTTCTTTTCTTTCTTAAACTCACAGAAAATTCTTCTCTTTTTTTCATTGGATCACCATATATTGCTATTAACAAAATTAGAATTTAATGACTATTGGGCATTGAATAATTTAGTTACTTACGCTTCATAAACTGCTTTCTTTCATCAGTTCTCCCGTAGTCTTCTACCATTTTGAAGTTTGTCGATGCTTGCTTTTAAATTTATATATAATTTTAATATTTGCTTCACTAATTGCGGAATTTTCCAATTCTAATTTCAGCATGGGGTTTTGGGGTTTTGGGG